GGCCATTTGTTCTGGTGGTACCTCAGCAGACACTGAAGCTCAAATCACAGTGCTCTCCTCTAGTCCTTCCCTCAGCTGCATGTTTAGGACTGATTGGTTTGATAGCCTGAGAAGAAGATGGTTGGGAGGCATCTTTTAGCAGCTGTTTGCTTACAGGGGATCGTGGGTTGTTTGGCAACTGTGTCAGATCATATTAGTGATCATCAAAAACATGTCAGCTTCTCTGGAGCAGCTAAATCTGCTTCCAGTTCACTTCAATTTTGTCAGTTTGGATGTCTTGGCACAAAAGGGTCACGGCTTTGATGGCAATATGTTGGTAAACTTTGGGTTTTTTGATGTAGTCCCAGTAACTGATGGTTTCTCTCTGTTAATTGTAGGCTCTAGCCACTGCCTGCTGGTCAGTTCTGAAAGCAAAGAGGAGGCTTCTGATGGTAAGCAAAATGAATTTAAAGTGTTTGAAGCTGAAAAGAGAACACTTAGATATTGATAAAATATAGAATCTTAGGTGGTGTAAGACTGAGCTGAATCAGATCCTCCGTGATGCTTTAGAGCACTGAAGTCCTGTCGTCACTGCTCCAGTGCCATGCCAGTACTTTACTGAATCAGTCTGGGTTTATTCTCCTTTTTTCTTCATGTGAGGATTGTAAAGACAGTGTTCCCTGTCTGGTATTCCCTCTCCCCACTCACAGTATTACAGGAATGGCTCAGGCACTTCTCCACTCTGCAGTGCTGATGCTGATTACCCATTACTTGATGAGTTTCCCTGAAATCTGTGGCTTTCTAAAGTGTCATAGCACAGGAGTTCATGGACCTGGGCAACAGGAAGCCACAATTTTACCACTCCAGTTCTGCCAGAGGGTCTGTGGCCTCTGGCAAGTTTCCAGCTCAATCCCACACCCAACTGGTACGATGGGGTTTGCCTCATGGGATGGCACAAAGAGAAGTGAGAGAGTTGGAAGCTCTGCTGGTGCTGTCAGGCAGTAGCTCTGTCTTGGATATTTGCATGTCCTTTCCTGGCATGGTCTGGAGATTATAATAGAGGCTGTAAAGACATTTTCTTCTGTTCATTTTCTTCCTGAAATAGTAGTTTAGAAACATGAAGTTAGAAAGCTCAAGTCATCCTTCAAGGGATCTGAAAGATAAATGTAGTTCTGCTGGAAGAGATGTTCTTAAGTAGCTGTTCAGTTACTGAAGCTCAGTGCTTTCTGGCAGGGAATTTGGTAGCTGATATGGAATAAGCTGCTAATTCTGCATGAGAATGAAGACCAACCAATTCTTCCCTTCCCTGTGGCAGGTACCAGATGGCTTTATCTCTCATTTCTACTCCGTATCGGAGCATGTCAGTCCTGTTCTAGCCTTTGGTTTTCTGGGGCCCAAGGAGCAGCTCTCTGAAGTCTGCAGCTTCTTCAAGGTAAGTTTCAGTACCTGCTCTGTGTGGGACTCCTGTCTGCTGGCCTAGAGCTGCAGATGTGTGCTCTTAGTGACTGATGTGGCATTAAGAAACTTGACTCTACAAAAACCTTCTAAAAATCACTTGTTTCTGAGATGCAGATTGCTGAACTCAGATTGGTGAGAATTCCCAGCACAATTGATCAGGGCTGATAGCAAAAACCTGTGATGAGATCAATTTATACCATCAGTGTTGGAAAAGATGACGGGTGCATATGCTGAAAGAATGTTTTGAGTAAGAGTGTATGGGATCTTACAAGCTATGTATTTGATCTTATAGCCTGAATCCTATTTTCTTCTTGATAATGTCACGAGATGCTACGTTGCATTCATTAGTGTTTGCATGGCTATTGCCACGAACATCAGCATTGCTTTCCTGGCTTCAGGAGCTCTGCTGCTCTCTTTCAAAGGCGTGAGGGGATCTAGCCACAAAAGCAATCCCCAGCCTGAAGGAGATCTTTGCTTGGGTGGCAAACACGCAGAATTCTTTGAGGCTCTCTGCTTGCTGCAGTCCAGGCAGCTGGTAGTGGCAGAAATCCTGACTGCAAACCTTACTGTTGTCTTTGCAGCACCAGATAGTGCAGTATCTGAAGGACATGTTTGATTTTGACAACGTGAGGTACACCACAGTGCACTCTCTGGCAGAAGACATTCTGCAGCTGTCGCGGCGGCGCAGTGAGATCCTCTTGGGGTACCTGGGCACCGAGACTTCCCCCGAGGTGAATGGCATGCTGCCTGGGGAGACAGAGCTGCTGAAGGAGGAGCTCATCTGATGGCAGGGCAGCAAAACAGTTTTGTACAAGGACCTTTTCCTCCCAGAGGTGGATAAAACTACCTGCAGCGTGCAGTGGTGGCAGCAAGACTTTCTCAACACACAGCGACCTGGTGGGACCTTCTGCTTTGTGTAGCCAGTAGTGTTTGCTGGGATGGATCCAGGACCACTTGGCAGCTTATGGTTTGAATTTCTTCTTTGTTCCACCTTCCTGTTCTTTTTATTATTGTTACTTTTAATGTGTCATGTATACCTTGTGTCCTGAACTGCCTGGGCCCAGATTTTTGCCCAGTTCTCTTGAATTAGGGCAATATATGACTCTGTGTTTTCTGGGAGGTAATCCCTGAGGTTTACGATTGCATGTGGGAACAGGAATATCACTAGTAAATTCTCCAGTTGACCATTAGCTTCTCAAGGAGGCTTTGTTTGCTTTGGGATTTAGCTGCTGTGTTCCTACAGACATTAACTACTGCTGATTTTTACCTTACCTGTGTTAACACATGCAATGTGACTAGCAAAGATTTCTTTCCTGAGGAGGAAGAAATAGTTCTGTAAAGCACTGAAGTAAAATGCAGACTTTGTACTTAGTCTGAAGCTCTGAGGAAGTTGCTCTGTTCCCTCAGTGTTGCTGCTCTTTGCAGGCCAAGTGACAGGCTCTGTGCCTGGTCATCCTGGCTTAGGAGATTGCTGAGGTCTGTGTTTGCCCCTAAGGCAAACTAGTGTGAGGAGGGGGTGGATTTGCATCCTGCCTGCGTTTGCACAAAGTCTGTAACATCCATCAAAGTGCCTTGCTGTATTTCAGAATGAGCCAGCAGCAGTGTTTGCTGGGTAGGAGGTGTGGGAAATGGAATATTATGGTGCCTACTCCTCGTATGCACAAGGTAGTAAGAGGTGTGCATGTTGGATGTGCAGAAGGATTTATGTTATGTGTGCAGGTAGATGGAGGGCTGGAATCAAGCTTCTGGAGAGGAAAGGTCTCTTCATAGCCTGTCAGTTTTAAAGTGTAAGTCCTAAGAGTGTGAGTTTTGGGTAATGATCAAATGTGTGTGTATGTATGACCTGGTAGTGCTGGGTCAGGCTCTTCTCAAGTGCTGTGATTCTGGGATCTGCTGCTTTGGGATGTGAGCTGAGCTGGATATTGTGTAGGACAGTGGCAGTGGAGTGTGCTGGAGCTGAGGCAGTCCTGGATTTTGCGTGAGGTTTGCAGTGATTTGCTGAGTCCTCTGTGAGTGCAGAGTCACAGATGGTGTTGAGATCCAGCCTGTGCTTTCTCCTGCTTCAGTCCACATACAGCTCCAAGTCCCACCCTCAGAATGAGGCAGTTTTCACTACTTCCACAAAAACATGAGCTTTGCTGTATTTTTCTCAGACTGATTAGTTACCCCTTGTGTCTGTTGTAGGTAAAAGACACAGGGTTTAGCTAGCCATATTTTGGAGTTTCCATACGAGTGGAAAGTCAGTGCATGGCCTTGGAGAGTAAGTCTTGTTCCTCTTCAGATATCTAATGTGGATTCTGCTGGTGAAAGCAGGAAGGAAGTAAACAGATAAAACAGGAAGATGTAAAAGGAGCAGATAAATGTGCTGTGCAATGTGCTCTAGGATGGCCCTGCTCGAGCAGGGTGGTTGGACCAGATGTCCCACTGTTGTCCCTTCAAACCTGACCCATTTGGGATTCTGTGAAATGCTCCTGAGGTGCTTTCAAAGAGGGTAAGTGTCGTGTAAAGCAGAACATCTGTTGCTCTTGTAAGCACATCAGACTGATGTGGCTTATCCTGGAAACCAGATTAATGCAATAAACAAGCCAGTGCTGAGGCAGAAGTGAGGAACAGCTGCCCCAAGTGAGGCTGCATGGAATAAACTGTTGTGGGAAGGGTTTAAGAGACAGCAGTTGAAAGTAGGAAAGGTCTCTGAGGTGTCTTGCTCCTGGCAGTGTGCAGTAAGAGAAGAAACAGAGGATGTTGTATTAGCATGACACACCTGCTACACACGAGCTGTGGTTCAAAAGTGTGGTATATTCTGAAAGCAAGTTACTTTGCCAAAAAAAAAAAAAGGTGTTTATAGTGCTTTGTGCTCTTGTATGGCTGGTTCAGAAGAAAGAGGCACTTCAGCAGCTTTTGTATAGTGGTTAAAAAAGATGCTAAAATGTGAAGATTAATGTAATAAGATGGATTGTAATTCTAAGCAATCAATGCTGTTAAATTCTCATTTGTAGAGTTGTTTTATGTGTATTTATTTACTGTTTTAAGTGTCTTTTGGCCTCAGTGCTTGGGCAGCCTGCCTGCTCTGTGCACAGATGAGAACACTGGCTGCTGACGTGGGGATTTTTGCATCCTTGCAGGAGAGGATACTGAACAGGGTTCCCCTGAAACAAACACTAACTTGCACTGTGGCTTTTTAAGCTGAAAGATTGTAAATTCCTAATCAGTCAAATGAAGAAAAATTGTTTTATTGCAGCTTGATGCTTTTTCTTAGCCTTTATTGCAGTCAGGGCACGCTGCCCTCCCAGTGAAGGTAAAGAGGAATCTGCCTCAGAAACATCTGAGGCTTCTTGAATGTTGAGTTCTGTCTCTGCCTTCCAACACTGACTTGGTCCTGCACCAGTCAGGGGTGTCTGCTGAGGCAAACTGGTTTTATCTTCACTGGGATGGGTGTTAAAGTTCTTTACACCTTTCCCGCATTCCATTGCTGCTCTTTCTCCCTCCCCAACCCCAGTGTAGCTTGAGAGGAAAGGCAGAAAGGTGTTTGCAGCCTCTGAAGGGAACTGCGAGGATCAGTGGAGTCAGAGGAGCTGTTCCTGTGGAAGAAGCTCTCCCTGACCCCAGGAGTGGTGGTCAGTGACCTGCTGTGTTCAGCTGCTTTGGATGTAACCCTGAGCAGGAGCTCAGGCTGCTTCCACTGGTCCCATCCAGAGCAGGGCTTGGCCTAAATGGCAACCAACTCATCCTCACCTGTTTTGCAGGGTAGAGCAAAAGGTATGACAGGACACCTGCCTGTCCTCTAGCTTCCTGAGGTCACTAGAGAATCCTTTCCCCAGCATATTGTTTTAGGAGAGGAGATTCTTCAGTATTAGTAGCAGATGAGATACATATTCAGGTAGAATCCCTAGAGATAAGACATTCACCTGTTTTTATAATGAACCCTTATTCTCAAGGGGTTAAATCATTCTGGACTGACACTTGCAAGATTTTAACACTGATGGGGATTTAAAATGGCTTTAGCAGCTATGAGATAAAATCCCCCAATAGTTTCTGATGCTTAAACAGAATTTAAAATATGCATGACTTTGATTTTTCATGAGGAGGTTGTAACAAGCTTCACCAGTGGTTAAAGTACACACTCAGTACTTTAGTATGTATGTACAGACTAAGCCAAATGGCTCTAGGAGGGTCTTTATGATCTTTTAAGTACAAATACATTAATTTTAAAAGTATGAGGAAAAATCTGCCTTGTATCTAGAAGATCAGTGTGGCTTTGAAGAGCATGACTTGTGCTGTCTCATACAGGGAGGTGGGAAAGCAGGATTTTATTTACCCCTCTTCAGTAGGACATTCCTCTGCCATATCTAAAACTAATGAATGTAAACTTGTGCCTATTTTTTTTGTCTTGATTTCCGAAAGGTGTAAAAATCTGTTCTCATTTTGCTTCTATCCCTTTATTTGCAGCTAATGGGGTTTTTAAATACCTTTAATCTTAGGATGTGGGCATTACAGGTCAAATAAAACTTTCTTCATTGATTGTGGCTTTTGTTTCTGAATTTCCTGGTGAATCGGGCTAGAAACTCAGCCCTTAGTTTCTGATTTAGGTGACAGTTGTGGTGACACCTCTGGTGCTAGCAAACAAAGCTTGCTCTTCCTGGAGTTAAAATGATGAATTTAAAGGGTTTCAATGTAAACGTAAAGAGTTGATTTGCATGGAGAATCTTCCAGGTACTACTGACAAGTCCATGGATTAAGTGGGCTCTAAAATAAAACAGCTCCTTGTGCTTTGAGCAGTGGTTGGAAACATTGGGGTTTCGTTCTTCAGGTTTGCCTGTGGTGGTTGGCTGTGTTGGGGTGTGGTGTGGGTTTGGCTTTCAGGCTGTGATGAAGTGATAACAGAAATCCCAGTGAGGAGCAGAACCTCTTAGACAATATCCAAGTTCTGGTAGCACTTTATCAGCCTCTCAAACTGTGTGAGAGGAACGCAGAGCGAAGCCTGTGGGTTGCTATCAGAGCTGCACATCTGCTGAGCAATGCAGGAAACTCTTCTTCTGAAGCAATTACTGTAGGTTTAAATACTTTCATTTTCGAAGGATACAGAAACCAGCCTGAATCAGTTTCTTCCACAGCGATTAAAATCTCATCCCTGTGCTCAAAAATAAAGAGCCCCAGTTCTCATTAATGCAAACCTGTCATGAACTCTGATTATGCAAATAAAACGTTCATGAATAGGGGAATTTCTGTCTGGTGCCACACCCTGATCGTTAGCTGAAAGAGTTAAAGGGAGTTTCTCTCAGTTTCCATGGAGTCAGACTCCACACTCATCACAGCTCTGGAGCAGCTTTGCTGTCTTCGCTGAGGCTCAGAGCAAAGGCTGCTCCGTGTATTGACACTTTCTTCTCCCGCTCAGGAAGGAGTGGGTGAAGACAGCAATGAAGCCCACAATTTTCAGTACTTGTCATGGTACATAGATCAAATGTAATCCACTCTGCCAGCATAACTCTGCATTCAATAGCTTGGGAAGGAGGAGATTTATTTAACCTGAATAATGAAAGCAGTAAATCACTCATGCTCCCTCACAGCAGCTTCAGCGAGCTCCTGCAGTAAATATTTGCTCTTTCTTTCCAAATAATAAGACTTTAATGCTATTTTTCTTCTTGCAATGCCAGGAAGAGTGTCAGCTTTGAAGAGCCTGTTGAAATTAATGGCACATAATCATAATTGAAGCAGGTGTATTACAACGGCAGGAAAAGGAGATTTCTCCCTGTTCTGAAATCTTACACTGAGGGATAGAAATCCTGGT